TATTCATTTTAAAATTTTCTTTAGGTTCGTTACTAGGCTCTGATACCAATTATAGGGTCAAAAAGCGGAGAATAATTAAAATATAGAGATAAGGGTATAATAGACAATACTCACACAAAATGACAAAAAAGTGTGAAACTTGATGTGAAACTTAATGGTAAAGTAGTATAATCCATTGAAAATAGCAATTGCATAAAATCCCTGTTAGTCAAATAGAGCCTATGCTTCCAATTTTATCAAAATTAACATAAATTTTTCAAGACTATATGCAAATTGAAGAGAAATGAAAAGAAAACAACCAAACACAGAGAGCTGAAAAACCATTCACAGAGAATCACAAGAATTATAATGACAAATTAAAACAATGATCAAACAAAAAAAATAAAAAAAGGAACGAAGGTTTTTTTAAATAAACAATTTGTTGGAAAATGCTAAACGACCCGCGTGGGTGACCGCGGGGATGACCGCACACTCACAACCGATGCGGGGTCCCACATGAATAAAATAATACCGACCCCCCCATATGTGTGTGAGCGGTCATCCCCGCGGTCACCCACACGGGCACTGTAGCATGACTCTAGCAAAATAGCAACCTGTATCTTGCCCAGATTTTGGAATAAAGATTAAGATTTTGATTTTGAAGCAAAGTATTAAATAAGGGACAATTTTGTCATTCCCATTAATAACGAGTTATTATTACAGTTTACGAGTATCACTCTTGCTAGATTTTATTTTAATTTTTCGCACCTTCATTCATGCTAAAAGTAACTTCTGAAAAATCACCTTTATAGGGTAGTAACGTACAACTACTTGTTATATATAACTATTATCTTATCAAATTTAGTACATTATACTAAACACTGACGGTAATATTTTATTTACCCTTTCAACTAAAGATGGTGGTCTAGGTTACAAATTATTTTATCAATTTGATTTCCAATGTCTTAACAAGGAAATCACTTGATAATAAGGGAAGTTTGGCATTATTTTTGAAAAGTCAAAATGAACTTTTGAGATTCAAAAGTTATTTTTGAACTCGTCTTACTAATTTTATAAAAAGTGATTTTTCTAATTAGAAAAAGTAAGTTGATTTTATGTGGCTTCCTCCATAAATACTTCCGAAATTAAAAAAAAAAAAAAAATTTCTTTTAAAAGTTAGTTTTCAAATAAAAATTCAGATAACTTTCTCCAAAAATTCTCCTACAGAAATTAAAAACAAAAGTAGGTTAATATTATAACTTCAAGGAAACATTAGGTGGGCACCTCTCAACTCTGTCCAACATGGGACATGTCATATTAAGGGATTGAATCGAAATTACCCTTGTTTGGACTCTATTTTTTTTTTCAGAAATGTACTTTTTCAAAACTTATTTTTAATTATATATTCTCTCATTAAATAATGTTACACGCAAATTCAAAATTTTTCCTTATTTTTTAATTGTATATTTTTAAAAAATTACTATTTCAAAATAAATTTTTCCCCAAAAGCCCTTTTGTTTGAGCCATATTTTTTCAAAACACATTTTTTCCTAAAATTTATTTTCAACCATATATTTTTCCAATAAAATAAATTTATTTCTCTGGAACTAGTAATAAATACGTGCGTTGCATATATATATTTTTTAAGTAAGCACGTGGGTTGCATGCTCCTATGATATGCATAATATTTTTAAGTACAAATATTGTTTTTTAAAGTAGTAGAGGTAATTAATATATGTGAAAATGTTGAATAATGATTGATTGCTCTTATTTTTTCATTTTGAAGTCAGTATGTTTTTCTTTTCTCAAACATGGGAAATAAATTTTCGATTATGTCGTTAAACAACGCAGTTTGGAAATTACATTCCTGAAAATATTATAAAAAAATAACTTATTTTATCTAATAGTGAAACTTCTATAAGAAAAATATTGTATAATTCTGACATTATATAATTCCCCTCATCATAAACATTCCTGAAAATATTATAAAAAAATAACTTATTTTATCTAATAGTGAAACTTCTATAAGAAAAATATTGTATAATTCTGACATTATATAATTCCCCTCATCATACAAAATTAGTTTTAAAATTTCAACAGGGTCATTCTTATTTGTTGTAGATCTCAATGAAACCTTTTTGAAATATGAATACTTTTATAATATATTTTTCTTCAAATGCATTCAGTTGTCTTTTAAAAATATAATCGCAATCTTCGTTTGATGGCATCAATCCTACAAATATGAAAAACAAATTTAAAATATAACAACAAAAATATGCATTAACAATTAACAAAAAGGAAAAAAGTTACTAATATTTTTCAAATTAAACTGATGACTTGACTAATTTTGTTGATATATTAATGAATTATACCTTGTTTCTGTTAGTGATTTTGACGATGATGTATTTTTCTGTGATATTTCTAGCATACAAAATAAAAGTCTTTGATATGTTAGTTTAGTAATTTATTTATCAATGTTGAAAAAAATCATATAGCAAATTTATGACATCATACAAACAATATTATACAACACATGTCTTTATCAAGAATGTAATTATGCTCAAATACCAATATGATGCAACAACATACACTAATTATAATTAACATTTCAGAATTTATTTCATACCAAAAATTGGGTAAATATGAAAAAAAAAATTTCTCAAATGATTTTATGTAATATAAAAATCAATCAAAGACCAATAGAAAGTGGCTGGTATTCACGTTTCAACGAAAGCCTAATTACCAAAGTTCAATATAATTTCACATATGCTAATGTCCTATCATCTCTCCTAAAAGTAATTATCAAATCATAGTTTAATAAATAATATAAACAGTTAAATAAAAATCATAAAATAAAAAATATTAAAAATATGAATCGTTAAGTCAAAGATAAGTCATAGTGGTGAAAATAGATCTAGCATATAGATGTCCAGTTAAAGATAACTCCACAAATTCATAAATATGAATAAAAAAGAATGCATATTTACTTGGGCTGTCCGTGGGTCGGTTCAATTCGGTTCTGAAGAGACCCGAA